CCACTAGACCACCAGAGCTCCCTTGTTTTTAGATAGGAAGTGGTAAAAAGGCAGGATTGTGCAAGCTGATAGACTAGACTATATAGTGCTTCTGGTGACATGGTTTTGGTGTGTGATGCCAAGAATAATATTCTTGATTTAAGCACCTGATTTAATCATGTAAATGTAGACACATGTCTCTTCTAGAGTTTATAGTTTAAAGACAACTAGAAAGTATAAATCCAAGTGCTTTGGTTGGTCTGTGTAATTAGATTTTAATGTGAGCTTTCTCTTCTGTTTCTACATTTTTTTGCACCCTTATGTGAGTGAATAGGAACAAATAAATATCTCTTCTGTCAGTTGACCATACATCTGTCCTCCATATTTTCTGGCATAGACTGGTGAGCATGTCCAGGGCTGTATCTGTTAGTTGAAACATGTAAATTGATACCCCATTGCTTCCTCTGGGGCCTTTTAAAATTATTTTTTCCCTGAGTGCCTTCAGTGTTGCTTGCATTTCTTTCTTCATTACTATTGTCCGTATGGTACTTCCTGAAACATTTGTGTTGACCAGTTCTTTTTGGTACAGTGATACTGTGTATTCCCGCATCCTGGCATTCAAGATTTTGCCCATAGCATCTCTCAGTATTACAACTTGAGGCTTGAATTTGTTTTTAGTTCTTTCAGCTTTAGAAATGTTGAGTAAGTTGTTCTCATTCCCAAATAAAGTGATGCAATAGAATGTGGAACTTATTGAATACTACTGTTAATATCAAGATAATCCTAAAATAGTTAGAACAGTACATTGATAGAGAAACTGGCAGAAGTTCAAGCTCTGTTTAGAGAAAATGCTACGGCAGCAGGGATATCATTGCTGGTGTCAGATGGATCATGGCTGAAAGAAGAGAATATCAGAAGAATGTCTATTTATGTTTTATTGAGGATGCAGTCACATTTGACTGTGGATCATAAATAATTGCTGTTATTGAAGAATGGGAATCTCAGAAGACTTAATTGTGGTCATGTGAAACCTATATGTGGACCAAGACGCTATTGTCTGAACAGAACAGGGGAACACAGCATGATTTGAAATTAAGAAAGATCTTGGTGCAGAATATCAAATTTCAACATCAAGAAAACAAAGTCTCACCACTGGACCTATCAGCAACATTATGATGAAGAAAAGATTGCAATTGTCAACTACTTCATCTTACTTAGATCCACATTCAATGGTTTTGATACCAGCAGTCAAGGACATATGGAAATTTATAGCACTGAAAAAGTCTGCAATTTGAGATCTCTTCAAATTATAGAGGAGTAATGATGTATGTTTGAAGGCTGAGGTGTGCTTGATTCATGCCATGGTCTTTTCAGTCATACCAAGCTGGACAATGAGTAAGAAAGACAGGAGAATTAATGCCTTTGAGCTGTGTGTTGAATGAAGAGTACTGAATATCCTATGGAGGAGCAAACAGGTATGTCTTGGAGACAGTGCAACCAGAATATTCCTTTCAGGAAAAGATGACAAAGCATCATCTCATGTACTTTGGGCATGTTGTTAAGTGAGGCTATTCCTTGGAAAGGGACATCATGCTTGGAAAAGTAGAGAGTAGGTGAAGAGAGGAAGACCCTTAACCAAATGGATTGACACAGTGACTGCAACTATGGGCTCAAATATGTCAGCAGTGATGAGGATGTCACAGTATAAGACAACGTTCAGATCTGTTGTTTATATGGTTGCTGTGAGACACATTCAACATGATAGCACCTAAAAGCATGTGAATGAGAAAGTATTTTTGTCAGAAAGCCCCAAAACTTGGATTTTTAAAACTGAAGCACATCTCTAAGCTAGGTAACTTACTCATAAAAGAATATAAGGAGGAAAGAAAAAAGTGAAATAATTTTGAAAGAGAAGTCTATAGAGTCTTAGCTACCACCACCACCTAGTCCCCCCCCTTTTTTTCAAATAGATACGCAGAACTTTTGTTGTTACTGGGTACTGTCAAATTGGATTGGATCTAACTGACAAAGGAAGAGAGTGTCCCTCCTTCTCCAGTGGAGCCTCTGGTGGATTCAAACCACATGTCTTTGGGATTGCAGTGCAGCTTCTTGCCACTAGGCCACCAGATTGCCCTCCATTTTTTAAAAGTGAAAACTGCAGGCATTGAAAGCTGAATTTCCAAAACTGACTTCAAAGGATAGTTGAGTAGAAGTTGAGTAGACAGTATAAGCAGCCTTAATTTAAGGTCACCAGGAGCTCAAGTGGCCTAGTGGTAAGGAGTTGAGCTGCCAGCACAAGCTTCATTTAAATCCACCAGCTACTGCATGGAAGAAAGATGGACAGTCCCCTCCCATGCAATTACTGCTTCTGGAAACCTGCTGGAGGGTCAGCCATGTGTTGGTTCTGACTCAAAAATACTTAACAATAATATCAAAAAGAAGAAAATGTTGGAAAACTTTGCTGAAAGGCTGGAATAGCCTGTGATGTAATAGGTCATAAGGAACTGATCTGAAAGCTCACAAAACCTGGATGCTCACATCCTTCCTATTGTTGACACTTTATATGCTATTATTGGCCCACTTTTGTTAAGTATTAAAGTGAATGCTTGCAATAATGGAATTAAGCTTTTGCTAAGACTAATTCCAGTGTTTGGAATAATACCAGAAAAAGCTAGCATCTGATTTTGGACTTGTTGGTTCAGAATTTGTAGAGCCCTGGTGGCATGGAGTGTTAAGTAATGTACTGCTAACTGAAAGTTTGGTGGTTCAAATCCACAAGGTGCTCTGAGGATGAAAGCTAATCCATCTCTTCCTGTGAAAACATACAGCTTTGGAAACTCATTGAGGGTCACTGTGAATTGGAACTGACTTGACAGCAATATGCTTTGCTGTATAATAGGAAAGAGACAAGTGAGGCTAAGGGATAGGTAATCAGATTTAATTTTGTCATACTTGTTGGGACCTTAATATATTTGCTTTTGGAGATGTAATTTCCTTTTAGAGAAATTGAGTGATTTGGGATCAAATGAATAGTGTGAATTTAGTAATTTGTCTGAGTAGACAAAATTTGTCATATTTAACTTGCTTTAGTGAATAGTGGTGTGTTGTGTTTGTTTTTGTTTTTAAGCATTCTAAGTAACATCTATGTCTATGCAGAAATGGTCCCTCATTGCATCTTAGCACTTAGTACAATGCCTCACACATAGTAGATACTCAGTTATAAAAGTAATTGAATGCACTGCAATCCCAGAGGAACGCAGTTCAAATCTACTTGACGCTCTGCTGGAGAAGGAGGGACCTTCTCTTCCTGTACCAGTCAGATCCAATTTGATGGTACACACACAAAAAAATAATACAAGCAAGTGAATGTATGCAAGAATAAGTGAATATATAAGTTGTAGGTAATTCTAGCCTGCCTTCATATAAGTTGTTTTAAGAGGCATGAGGTTTATTTCATTAGAAGAAGTAGGTACAGTTAAATATTGCTTGGAGAAAAGAAGACTGATTCAGGAAACTTGGCCTAGAGGAAGACACAGATTTACTGAAGAGGTGCTTATGTTCCTGGCACTATTTTTGGTTTGAAATGAGTCAATGCATGTACTGTGTTACAAGCAGTGAAGACATCCTGTTACAGCGCCCCCTTTATATCCTTTCCATCGGTGTCTGTGTGCAGTTTTTAGAAGCTCTATCTTTCCCTGAAATGTAAATTGTAAGTGTAAGAAATATGACAAGAATATTTAAACTAACCTAATAACTGTAGTTTGCAAATGAATTAAATTTCTTTTTAAAAATAGCTCACCTCTAATTTTAATTTAAACAGTTGTGGCAAGACAGCATCTCTAAAATATGTAAATAAATAGAAATAACTAGTTCAATATGAGGTGCTTTCCAAATTCAAGTTTGCAGTCCTTTTGAGCTACTCAGGCTTCCCTGAAATGTCGCTAAGAATCAGATTCTCTAGCTCAAACACAGTAGAACCTGTGCAGTTTCTGCTGGAGGGGGAAAAAAAATTAATAATGGAGCTTTTTTTGCATGGATTTTCAATTTAAGGAAGAAATCTACCTATTAAAACATGATGTTCATAGAATAAATGTGTTTGAAATCTAAATAAGTAGTAATACATACTTGTGTGACTAAGGAAAAAAGTTACAAATGTTCATACATACAAAATAGAGAAAGTCAGCAACTCATAATCTAACAATTAGATTTCTAACAATCTAACAGCTTTTCATTGTAATTTTCGAAAGATTATTTTCCCACTTTCCAGAGCACAGAAGAACCCTAATGTTTGGTTTTATAAAATCCTGAGTGTTAGATCTAAGTGAATGACAGTGCCTCCTGTTACTTTTGACCTCAACTTGCTGTGTGGACAATCAAAATGCTTGACCCCAGATGTTTTCTCTCCTGTCCAGTTCTCTAGTGTTGCTTTGTAGTGCATGGCATATGAGGCATTTTTTTTTGCATTGCTATTAGAATATACATTCTAGAGCTGTGTTGTTTAGTAGCTTTTCAGCACTTGAAATGTGGCTAATGCAATTTGGAAAGTAAATATTTTATTTTACCTAATTGTGAGTAAATTAAAATAAAGCATGTCAGCAGTGACTACTGTTTTGGACAATGAAGATACACAACAGTTTCATCATTGCAGAAAGTTCTCTTGAGGTCTCATTCTAAGATGACCTGGCTTAAGTCTCTGAACCAGTCGACTGTCTTGTACACAGTATTTTAATTCAGAAAATGGGGGTAGAGTACAGACGCCCTCTGGTTGCCAAAAGTATTAATATGTGGATTGAAAAACAAACACAAAAAAACTCCTGTGTAGCTTTGTTGCCTGAAAGTGAGGGGGAGGAGTAAGAGGGAAAAAACACATCTTTACAAAATCATAGCAAATAGATGATGGTATTTCTTAGCATTAAACTGTTAAAAGATGTCTAATAACTTGAGCATAATAGTGTGTTGAAAGAGTTGATGCTAAGGCATCTTTGGAGGATCTATAATCCTTAATCACTTTTCTTATTTAGGTACTTAAAGCTTTCACCAAAACATCCAGAATCAAACACTGCTGGAATGGACATCTTTGCCAAATTCTCTGCATATATCAAGAATTCAAGACCGGAGGCAAATGAAGGTAACAAAGAAATTAGAATAACTGAAGTAGCACAATACAAAAAAATAAAACTAAAAAAACCCAACCCAGCTACTCTTATGACAGCAGCTGCAAAGCAATTCTCTTTGTGTCCAAACATTCCCATAAGTGTTAAACACTAGGCTTCAGAATTGATCGGAGATTTGACAGTAAACTGGCATACGACCTTAAGGTGTTATTTCTTCAACCAGCGGCACAGTGCCTGGCACATAGTGGGCACTTGATTAAATGTTTATTGAGGGAATTTCTTTTCATATTCTTCTGATAAGTTAATTATGAAAGGAGATATATATATATATATATAGACAATAAGGTTGTATTAAAAACAAAACCCAAAACACTAAGGGATTGTATGGTTGTGATGGTTTGAAATAGATGTTAAGTACAGTCAGGTAGACTATGACTCATAACGACCCTTTGAATAACTGATCGAAGACTTCCCCTGTCCTCACAGTCACCATGACTATGTTCATTGTTTCCGTCAAGGATTGGCCCCTTCTGGTAACATGTTGAAAGTATGTAGGTTAAAGTTCCATCATCCTTGACTCTAAGGAGTACCCTGGTTATACTACCTGGAAGACAGAATGGCTCCTGGGGACAAAGATGGACAATCTCCTATGTGATTTGCAGCCCTAGAAACCACTGGAGGCTCTGCTGTGAGTTTCTGGTCAATGGCAATAAGTAATAGTGTATAGTAAGCTTAATTCGTCTATCCCAACAATATTCTATGAAAACCCTATGACTAACAGAATCGACTCATAGTTGATCCTCCACTGGTTTCTAAGGCTGTAAAGATTGCCCATCTTTTACTCTTAGGGCCAAAGGTGGATTCAAAGTGTCAGAGAACCTCAGTCTTTTGGGTTAGCATAGCAGTTAACTCCCTTTGAGCTAGGCCACCAGAGCTCCCTAATGGAAACTATTACTAAATCTCTTCATTATTGTGATATTCCAGCAGCCCAATAGCCATCTGAGTAGTGTTTTGCGTTGTTGTTAGTTGTCATCAACTTGGCATATAACTCATATGTAACATAACAAAAGAAGACAAAACATTGTCCAAGCCTGCTTCATCTTCATTGTTAGTATGTTTGTGTCCTTGTTGAAGCTCTTGTGTTGGTACAGCTTAGTGAAAATTTTCCTAATTTTTAATGATTCTCTATCAAATATGTTGTTGTTTTCTTGAAATTGGTCTTTCCTGGTGGTTGAAAGTAAGGAAGCAAGATATAGTCTACCATTCTCATTTTCTGGTTTTTTTTGTGCATACCGTCAAATCAGATCTGACTGGTACAGGAGGAGATTGCCCCCCTTCTCCAGCAGCCCATCTGGCGGATTTGAACCGCATACCTCTGGGATTGCAGTTACCATTCTCATTTCTAAGGAGCATCTTGGTTGTTTTTGTTCCAAGATTGATTGATTTGTACTAATATCACAGTTCAAATCTATCGTCTTCAATCTTCCTTTGTCATTGTCGAGCTTTTGCATGCATATTGAAAAGACCAAACATACCTTAGTCATCTAAATCACATCTTTCCTTTTTATAACTTTAAAGTGGTCATTGCATAGTTACCTAGTGTTATGTTAGGTTTCTTGGGTGCTGTTTACATGAATGTTGCTTATTGAACCAGGTAGAATGAAATCTTTGGAAACTCTAATTTCTACATTCTATCATGATGCTACCAGTCAGCTCTGAAAGTGTTTTCTTGTTTTGTTTTGGTGGATGTGTGTGTACACACGCACTGACTATAAAAAGCAGTAGTTTTGGGGGTAAAATTAGATTTACCAGTCTTCCACATTTTTCTACATTGTGCTAACTAGGATTTTAATTCTAAATTATATTTTCATAGTGATAATATTTTTGGGTAATACAGATGGAATTGTCTTTTGCCATTACAGGGCATTACCCTATTTCATTGACCAAACTTACAGTGAAGTCTCATTTAATGAACCATGCCTTACACCATTTAGAATTTCCCTTAACACAGCATGCTTTTCTCTGGAGAAGACTATACAGAGAACATTAGAGTTTATTTTAAAATAACAAAGACGTTTTTATTCAGTATCGTTTTAAACAGTTTTGTAGCTTGGTTATAATTATCTTGAGTAAAAGTTAATGGCAGTAAATGAACAAAAATACCTAAGGGGAAGAATAATAGTATTGGTTAAACAAAAATAAATACCTTGTTGTATGGTGGGTGGAGGAAGGGAGTGAAGGAAATGGGAAGGATCCAGCATGGACCTGAAGAGACAGGTCCATGGTGAACAAGATCCAATGGTGATTAATTTTATAAAACAATGCATGGGAATGATTGTATGAAACACAATGTAAATGAAGAATAGTGTGACACATATATAAACTACGAAAACCAATAATAAAATTTAAAAAATTGAAATAGGTGCTAATTTCCTTCTGTCTCAGTAGGCATATTTCCAAATTTTAGAAATTGCAGCAGTCTATGATGTAGTGTTGAGTTTTAGTGTTTTGGCTTCTGGCATATACTATTCACTACATGAAATGAATGTTTGTCTTACTGTGGAGGCCTGGCTTACATCTAGTAAATGTGTTCTGGTAGCTGCTTTGGTTTGGGGAGCACTTTTCCTTGATAATTGACTCTCCCCTCCATATTTCTATCGAAGCGATTTGTGCTTAGTAAACAGTCAATTGGAGCCCCTCCTGCCCATTGACAGCGTCTTCTGTGTTTCATTCCTCCTCCTGCTGCAGGCTGACTGCACTTTTCATAAAACTATGCTTTTATATCCAAATGCTCTCTATGCATAGTTCTTTGATTAAAGTGTAATGTTTTTCTTTCTTTCTGTGACTTTTGGGAGCTGGACTGGTGGTTGACTTTGTTCTGACACTGGGTAGGAAGGAAAGAGGAAGAGATGTGTTTACTTTTTAAAAAATAGTTGCTTTTAGGGACTAGTGTTGCTGGAGGAGGAGAATTGGGGAGATAGTGACTCATTTAAGTATAATTTTGTATTCTATTTTTTCCCTATCAATTTGCTATTGTCTTAAGTAGCCACCTACACTTACTGTCCTTAGAATGTTGTAGCTAATTAGAACAAATAACATAATGGATTACATAGTAGACAGTTTAGAAAGTTTTTATATTAAATGACCTACTTGTAAATAAGAATTCCAGTCTGTCAAGCAATATCTCTCTACTGGGACCTGTCACTGGCCTGAGACTGTAGAATACAGTATTCTATAAATCACGTTGAAGCGTAATGGGTCTCCCTGATGTACATTTGTTGCGGATCTCTTAACTGTTTAGTGCAATTAAATATCTTTTATAAACCTAAGAAGTTAGTGATCTGCTTCCTTATTCCCACAAATACCCACTGAAACAACCAGTATCTTATACAGAGATAGATTTATCATATTTGGCCGTTCAGGGTAGGTCATATAAGCCTATTAAGTATTTTACAAAACCTAGTGCATTTAGATTTTTTTGTTTTTTTTTAAATAAAATTTTACTTTAGTTGTAATTCTTTTACAGCATATTCTTCCCATTTAATTTTTTCCCCAGTCATTCATTGTTGCACATTTTCCTCCCTGCCCACACCTCCCCCCAGTTCACTTTTCTCTTTGAAAAGAAAAAAAAATTCTTTAATTGTTATACAATGCCCTCCTCCCCAAGTTCACAGTCCACTTGCTATGCATTTCTTTTTCTGGAGTCTTGTCATGAAAATAATACCTAATAGATTCCTTTGAAACAGTTCTCTCCCTCATCTGTTTCAATGCAGTGTAGATTATTTATCCCATCTTTTCTTGGGCTCCTCCCAACCCTGACATCAGTCCCATTTTACAACAGTGGCGTTATGTAGTATTTGTTGTTTTGTGACTGAGCTCTTTCACTCGGCATAATGTCCTGCAGGGTCACCCATTTTGTATAATATTTCACGAGTTCCTTGTTTTTCAGTGCAGCATAGTATTCCATTGTGTGACTATGCTACAGCATCTTGATCCATTCGTTTGTTGATGGGCACTTAGGTTGTTTCCAACTCCTTGCTATTGTGAACAAATCAGCAATAAACATGGGTGTGTGTATATCTGCTTGGATGGCAGTTCTGTTTTTTTTTTAGGGTACGTTCTATATTCCCAGTAGTGGAAGTGCTAGGCCAAATGGTATTTCTGTTTTCAACTTTTTTGAGAAAGTGCCTTACTGCCTTCCATAGTGGTTGCATCATTTAACACTTCCACCAACAGTGAATAAGGGTTCTAGTTTCTCCACAACCTCGCCAGCATTTTTTGTTTGCTGCTCTGTTGAATTTTGCTATCAGTTTCATATCTCATAGTTGTTTTGATTTGCATCTCTTTTAGAGCTAGGGATTTTGAACACTTCATGTATTTGTTTGCCTTCTAAATGTCTTTGGTGAAGGGGCTATTCTTACCCTCTGCCCATTTTCCATTTGGGTTGTTTGCCTTTATCTTGTGGCACTCGAATATTCTGTAAGTCCCTTATCAGACATGTCATTGCCAAGTATTTTTTCCCAGTCTGTGCCTTCCCTTTTTACCCTTTTGGAGAAGGTTTTGGATGTGCATAGGGATTTGATTCTTAGAAGGTTCCATTCATCTATTTTATTCCCTCCTGGTTATAGGTTTTTCAGGATGCTATGAGGACTGTTCATGTTGTGGATTAGTGCTTCTAGAATTCTTCCAAGCTTTTCTCTAATGATGTTTATAGTCCTTGGTTTTAGTCCTAGGCACTTGATCCACCTTCAGTTGGTTTTTGTGTATGGAGTGAGGTGTGGTGGATCTTGCTTAAAATTTCTGCAGGTAGTTTTCCAATTTTGCCAACACATTTGTTTAAAAGGCTGTCGTTTCTTCATTTAACTGATGTCAACTCCTTGTTAAAAATCAGTTGACCATAGGTAGGTAGATTGGGCTGATTTCTGGATTCTCAATTCTATTCCATTGATCTATGTGTCTTTCATTGTACCAGTACCACACTGTCTTGACCACCACGGCAGTGTAGTAGGATTTG